AAAGAGAGAATATAATTAATATTTATACAAATAATGCATATTAAAAAATTACAAAAAAATTATTAAAAATTATTAAATAATAAATTTAATTTATTTTATTTCTATTTCTATTTTTATTTTATTATCAAATAATATATAATTATTGAAAATATAATATTATATTATATTATAAATAAATAATTATTTATTAATTATAATATAAATAAAAATAAAAATAAAAATAAATAATTAATTAAATATTTTAAAAAATATTTAATGTAAAATATATACAAATTATTTCTATTTATTATTAAAAATTATAAAAAATTTACATTCATAAACAACATTATATAAATTTTATCTTTTATAAATGCAAATTTATAGGAAATTTTTTTAGTCTAATTTTGCTATAAGATATATAGCATATTGATTTTTATGAACTAATTATTTATTTTTTTATTTAATTATTACTTATTCAATTTATTATGGATTAATATTTCATTCTATAGAGAGAATATAAGAATATAAGAATAAAAGAATATAATAATTAGATGTATATTTACATATTTTAATTTATACAATAAAAACTTTACCAGATACCTATTTAAAAAATAAAATTATGATTTTATAAGATTATACTTGTTATTGTAATTTATAAATAATCTTGCAAAGGACTTTGTGAAAAGTCCTTATATGGCAACATTTATAGTAAAATTATAATATATCGATAAATTTAATTATATAAAAGCATAATTATGAATTGATATAACATTAAGAAAATATTATGTACATGTAATCATTAATATATAATTTTTAATTACTTTTTAATAATTTTTTTCAATTTTTTTATTTTTCAATTTTTTTTTTTTAATAATATTAATATAGCAAATACAAAAACAATCTGCTTGCAAAAATATAAATTTTTAATTTTATTTATATTATTTTTTGTAAAATCAAATATCTAAAGTTAAATGACATAAAAAAATATTAAATATATCTGAAAAATCTTTTTTTATAATACATACACATAAGAATTATATTTTTAAAAGTGAAACCTAAAGTTTGCCTTAATATTATTACTTTATATAATTACATATTTTGTACTTTTTTTAACATTTAACTTAAAATATTAACTATTTCTTTTACAAATGATATTATAATTTGATATTTTTATAAGATAATATTACAATTTTGATATGTATATGTTATTATTTTACTAAAAATCTTAATTGTACATATATTTAATCAATGTAAGGTTTTAGGAAAATATGCAGATGGCAAAATTGGCTTATCAGACAAACCTGCTCTTCTTAATCCACTTTGTTGAATAACACTTGTACTTTTTGTCTTTGTACCATTTGATGGTACAGATAAATTATTATTTTCTATAATAACTGGCATTGAAGAAGCTGCAGCACTTCCAGATATTTTATTTAAAGAATTAATACGTTCCATAGGTGTACTAGTACTCGAGATTTGACCACTTTTATTAAATGTTGATATACCTGTGGTATTATCAGTAATACCAACACTCATTGACCGTGCTGCTATACGTAAAGTTTGATTAATATTTGGATTTTGTACAATAGGATTTCTTAGTGGCACTCCGGATAATGTATTTGTTTGTATTGTATTGGATGCAGGTGTACGTGTTTCATATTTATTGCTAATTAACTTATTTGTTCTAGGTAATGTTAATTGAATGGAAGATGGTATCGTAATTGGTGCTGCTACAGTAACATTTTGTAATGGAGATTGACTATCTGCTAATCGTCGATTTAGCCAACTTATCACTATAAAAATATAATAAAATAATATTAATTACTGAATGTAAATATTTCCTAGCAAGAAAATGAAATAAGAAAATAAATATATATTCCTGATATTATATTATTTATCTTAAAAATATTTAAACTCAAGTAAAATATTAAATAATATTATATAAAGAAAAATTATTATATTTATAATTGACTAAAAACTTTATTCTAAAATATGTTAAAAATATTAAATTACCATTATCATTATTTTTTATTATTTTTTCTTTTTCTTCTAATTGTGTTTGTTGAGTTTTGACTTGTTCTTTTAAATTTTCAATCTCTGTTTTTGCATCTTCTATTTCTTTTATTAAATTTTCCATTTTATTTTCTAACTGGCCAACTTCTTTTTGTTTAGTGTCTAATAATCTTTCTTGTTCAAGTGCTATACTAGTTCGTAATTTTAATTTAGATTTTGTTGAAGCAAGTTCATTTTGTAATTTTGTTAGTATTTCATTAGCTTTGACTAATTCATCACTTAAATTTCGTAAAGAATTTTGTTTACGTTGTAACTGACCTTCTTTCTCAGTTAAAAGATCTTCAAGATATTGTTTCTGTTCTTTGGCAGTTTTTAACATTTCTGTATGTTTATTAATAAGTATACTTTTATCTTTTAATTCTTGTTCAAGTACAGCAACTTTTGTTTTTAAACTATTTACTGATTTATCTTTTTCATGATAATCTGTATCCAATTTAGAATTTTGTTTTTTTAATAAATTTAAATCTCTTTGAGTAACATTAAGTTCTTTCTCAAGAGTTTGCAACTGTTTAAATTGTTCTATATTAGTTGCTTCAAGAAGAGATAATTTATCTTTGTATGTTACATTTTGTGTACGTAATTCTGCAAGTTCAGTATGAAGTTGTTTTATAATTTCTGTATGTTTACGTTCCACTTCTAATTTTTCTTTTTCATTTTGACATTGCCATTCTAGTTGTGCTTTAGCAAATCTACATAATTTAAGAATTTAATATTTGTTATATATTATTTGTTAAATATTTGTATATAATTTGTATATAATTGTATATAATAATTGTATATAATAATTGTAATAATAATTTGTATATAAATTAAATTACTTATATAAAAATTTGTTATATAAATTAAATTATTTATACACACCTATCTTTTTCAAGGCTTATTTGCTCTGATGAAAATATTTGGATTTGATTCTTTTCTGCCATATATTTTTGTTCCAATTGTTCCAATTCTTTTGTTTTTGTTTCTACTTTATTTGACAAGTCATTCAGTCTTGTTTCAAGTGTAAGTGTATCTCTGTTTTGTTGTAAAATATTTTCTTTCAATTGTTTAATTTTCATAGCCATATGTGTTTTTAAATCTGAATCACTTGCAGGTGATATATTTAAGCTTAAATGACATAAATGTTTGAAATTATTTGTTTCAACTAATTTGAAAATCCATTCTCCACTTTCTTCTGCTAATAGCAATAAAAATTTTGGTGGTGTTTTTGATACATTTGTGGAAGGTATACATTGTTCTAATAAATATATTAATTGAGTTGCAAAATTATCAAAATCTACTAATAGTCCTTGTTGAGACTTTAAAATTTTAAAATCATCTTCTGTGATAAATAAAGAATAAAGAAAACAAGGATCATCATCATCTGCTAACAAAACGCATAAACTCTGTAATATAAATATATATCATTAAATTATGTCATTGAAAAATTTCTAAAACATCTATCATCTAAAAATATATTTTAGATCATCTAATATATTTTTCAGTAAATAAATGAAAATATATTTTAAAAATGATAATTAATATTTATTATATATCAATATAATATAGGTTAATGCAAATATTATAAAATACATTACCTTCCGACATACAGGACTAATACCTGCATGAATTTCTACATTAACTCTTAATTCTCGTTGACGCTCTTCATTATGTTGTGGTTTCATATAAACTCTTTGTACTTTAGTATATAATATCTCAACATTATTCAATTGTAAACTAGAATCACCAGCCACTGCAGTGCCTATCAAATTATTTAAATAATTCATTATTTGATTATACCTTTAATAAACATTTATTATTCTTAAATCACCCAGTATTACGAATAACAAGAACAATATTTCAATTTTCATTTCATTTGTTAATTTTTTATAAATTATGAAAGGTTTACATGAAAGATTTTAAATTTTATAATTTACATATCAATCTAAGTATGTGTATTTGAAGTGGTGCCATCTTAGATATACATTACATTACTATATATAATAATATTTCTATATACTATTAAATGTTTAAATCAATTTCATTCATTCAATTTATTATTTATAATAAATAATAATTTATTTACATAAATACATTTAAAATAAACTTTCGTTTTTTTATTTTACTGCTCAAAAATAATTTATTGTTATTATTCAATTTATTATCATTATTATAATTAACAAAATAAAGTTTGGTTAAATGTTATTTTACAATAATAATATTACAAATTACACAGAAACATAAAAAATATTATTCAATCATTTAATTACATACATATAATAAGAGATAAAAATATTAAAATTTTTTTCAAAAGTTTATTTGAAATATATATAAATATATATTTGATATGATATAAAATATGAAATAAAATATGATATATT